ACCTGGACAGTATTTTTCAGGAAATCATAAAGGAAAACTGCTCAGAAGTCCTAGAACCAGAAGGTAAAATAACCATAGAAAGAATACACGCTCATCACCAGAAAGAGATCCCAAATTGACAACGCCAAGGAATATAATAGCAAAATTCCAAAATCACCAGATGAAAGAGAAGGTGCTGCAAGCAGCCAGAAAGAAACAATGTAAATGTCATGGAACCACAGTCAGGATTACACAGGACCTTGCTTCTTCTACATTAAAAGACCACAGGGCATGGAACATGATATTCTGTAAGGCAAAGAAGCTTGGATTGCAGCCAAGGATTAACTACCCTGCAAAAATGAGCATCATTTTTCAAGGGAGCAGATGTATATTCAACAAAATAGGGGACTTCCAAACCTTCCTCATAAAAAGACCAGATCTCAACAAAAAATTTGATCTTCAAGTACAAGGGTTCAAGAAAGACATAAAAATGCAAATGGGACAGAAAGATACAAAATGTTGTTAATAAGGGTGGACTGTTTACATCCCTACAAGGGAAGATGACACTTGCAACTCTTGAGAATTGTATTGTTATTACACCATGTTAAAGGAGTATACATAAAGGGGGTGGATATTAGTTAACTTTGATGTAGTGATTTAAAAAAAAATCTAATCAAGTGGGTTAAATGGATCCAAATAAGTGGATTAGTCTGATCTTAGAAAATGTGCTGAGAAAGGAGGAGGCAGACAAGGGTAAATTACATTACAGGAAAAGACAGAAAATCCTATTACAGCAGAGGGAAAGAAGGGAAAGGGGTCAGCATTGTTTAAACCTTACTCTCATCAGATTTGGCTCAAGAAGGGAATAACATAATCAGTTAGGTATAGAAATCTAACTTTCCCTATAGGCAGTAGGAGGGAAAAGAGGAAAGAAAATGGAAGGAGGAATAGAAGGGAGGGAAGAAGCAGTAAGGGCAAAGGGGAAGAAAAGGGAAAGGGATAATAGAAGGGAGGAGAGACTGCAGGAGGTGGTGGTCAAAAGCAAAACACTAGTGAGGGGGGGAAAGGAGAAAGGAGAAAGAAAAGCATAAACGGGGAAAAGGGATGGAGAAAAAGACACAGATAGTAATCATACCTGTGAAAGTTGAATCGCTATCCTTTTTTTTCTCTTCTGTTGAGTTTTGTTTCCTCTTTCTGATGGTTCTTCCTATTGGTCCTAATTTTTACTTACAACTTCACTAATGTGAAAATATGTTTAATAGGAATTTAAATGTATAGCCTATATCAGATTGTGCGCCGTCTTGGGGAGCGTGGTGGGGAGGAAGGGGGAGAAAAATTTTAAACTCAAAAGCATATGGAAGTGATTGTTGATAAATCAAAATAAATTAATAAAAAAAAAATTTTAAAAAATAAATGCTTATTCCCTTCCCCTTCAAATATCCAATGAGGCTAGAAAAGTAATAATAACTAGTATTTACATAGTGCTTTAAGATTTGCAAAGTATTTTACAAATGTTATCTTATCCTCACAACAATCTTGGGAGGTAGGTGCTAGTATTATCTCCATTTCATAGATGAGGGTTCCGAGGCATACCAAGGTTAAATTATATGCCCAGGGGCACACATCTAGTAAGTGTCTCAGGCTATATTTGAACTCAGGCCTCCCTGATGTCAGCATTCGCTCCACTGTGCCATTTGGCTACCAGGGCCAGCTGATTGGGGTTTGGTTGTAAAGGGCTTTAAAAGTTAGAGGACTGGATTTGTATTTGAATCTAGAGTGCACTGGAGTTTGTTGAGTAGGGGAGTCACATGGTCATATTTGCAATTAAGTAAAATTACTTTGGCAGCAGTGTAGAGGGACAAGGCAGCTCGACCAGTTAGGAGAGTGTTGCAGTAATCTTGGCCTGAACTAAGGCAGTAGCTGTGTGAGTTGAGAGAAGGGGTCTGGTACAAGAGATGTTGTAAATATAGAAATGGCAGTATTTGGCCACTGATTGGATCATATGGGGTGAGTGAGAGTCAGGAGTCCAGGATGATGCTGGGTTCTCAAACCTGAGACACTGGAAGGATGATGGTGCTTTTGACAGAAATAAGGAAGTTTGGAGGAGGGGAGGGTTTAGGAGGAAGGAATAAATTCAGTTTTGGATATGGTGAATTTAAGATGTCGCTGAGGGAATCCAGTTTGAAATGTCCATTAGGCAATTGGTGATCTAGGAGTGAAGCTCAGGGGAGAGACTGAGGTTGGATATGTAGATTTGGGAGTCATTTGCATAGAGACAGTAGTTAAATATATGGGAGCTGATGGAGTTAACAAGTAAGAGTGTTTGGAGGGAGAAGAGAAGGCCCAGGAGAGAATTTTGGGAAATACCCACAGTAAGGGGGCATGATATGGATGAAGAACCAAAAAAGGGGGGAGAGGAAGGAGGGAGGTATGAGAGCAGTGTCACAAAAAACTGGGAGCATAGGGAGTGTCCAGGAGGAAAGGTTGGTCAGCAGCCTCAAATAAAGCAGAGAGATTGAGTTGTTTTAGTTCATGTGTCTCACTTTACTGAATTACTTACTTTGTGGTCATGAGTGTTCTGCGTTCTCTTTCTGGGCCTTAGTTTCCTTGTAAATAAAAGAAAAATTCTAGTCATGTGCCCTCTTCTTGAGTCTATTTTAACGATCCAGGAGACAGGCCCCTGCCTGCTTGAAAAATCTTATTATCATCACGGTTACTGGTGGAGCTATACAGATCTCTTCCCTGGAGCCACTTTAGGAAGTTGCCAATAATACGATATCTTCTGTTTTGTCAAGTTTAGATTTAAATGTCCCAAGTGATGGAGCTTCTGCCACTTCCCTTGGAGAAAATATTCCAGTATCTGATGCTCTAAATTTATATGCATAACACATCATTTTAAATAGTATATTCTTTTATTAATAGGCTTACTTTTATCTTCTATTGGAGATGAGTTATTGTGAGTTGGGGGGATGGGGTTGCCAATGTGGGAGACAATGTGATTTCTTTCATTGCCAGGGAGTTTCTCCTGGTGTGTTTCTGAAATGGTAAAAAAAGATCACTGAGGTGAGAGCAAGGACACCTGGACTTTTCTCCCTGCTCTGTTATACTGCCTCTTAGCACTGCTTCCCCTTTGGCCAAGATATGGTATCAGGTGACCTCTCTTTACCTTAATTATTCCTATATTACACTGGGTGCGTGGTCTCTTCCCACTCTCCAGTCTCTGTGTCATACATCTGTGATTTTGACTTGAGAGTAGGAAAAAAGCAAATGATTTTTAATTTAATGGCTTTCTCCCATCCTCTGGATTTTGCTGGCAAATTTATATGAGGTGTTAAATTAGCTTTGGCAGATGCCTAGTGCATGGAATTTACAAGTATAACATGATTTTAAGGGCTGATATGAATAGATTCCGTTCTTGGTCTAACAAGGAAAATCGTGACTATATAGGAGAAAAGGGGCCCCTGATAGAGTAGGTATTCCTGTTTCTTGTAAAATTTACACATGTGGTACAACCTTATTTATCTACCTTTCTGATAACCTGTCTAATTTATATAGAGTTTTGCAAAGTAGAGTATCTGCAGATATATTGACACAATATAATACCATGCCTCGGTATTTTCCCTATGTGGGTAGAGGGTACTGATACACATTTTCTAACTATCTAAATGTTTATAAGTCCAAATAATGCTCAATGCCAAGTGTCTTTTTGGTCTTTCTCCTCTCCTGAATCCACACCTAATTTCATTTATTGTCTGTCAGTACTGGTAGCAGTCTTCCCGTTCTGCATCTCTTCCTTCCCTCTTATCTGTCCTGGAAAGCTACTGCATAGTTCACTTCCTCCATAAATATGGCTCTAAGTGGGAAAGGGAAACCAATCCTAACACAGTTGGTAACTACGCATTAATTCTGGTTACCATCAAACATGGGGAAAAGTGAATTTTATTTTTTTTCTTTCTGAAAGGATAAAACTCAGAAATGGTATGATCAGTGCTTTTCTGCCTTATCTCTTTCCAGTAGTTGATAATCATAAACATTTATTAAGTGCTTACTATATGCTGGGCATTATGCTAAATGCTTGGGATACAAATACAGGGGAAAAAAAAGAAAGAGAAAGACTGTCCCAGCTGTCAAGAAGCTTACAGTCTAATGGAGGAAGACACAAAAAAGGCTGAAAATTCAATTGGGGAGATGGAGGTGGGGGGCATGGCTGGAATGAGGGGCAAAGAGGTTCATAATACGGGGGCATGCAGGAGAAGCTTAGCATAGTGCTTGGCACATAATAGGCATTTAATAACTGTTTATTGAATTGAATTGAGAAATCAGAGATGTTCCAAAGTAGTACAGCTTGGTGAGAAATGAGATATTTGAGCTGAACTCCTTACTTAAATGGAAGCTTTAGAGTTCATGGCTCCACCCTCTAATCAACAAAGAGGAAAAAGAGCCATATTTTAAAAAAATTATAGCAGCTCTTTGTGGTGGCAAAGAATTGGAAACTGAGAGGGTACCCATCAATTGGAGAATAACTGAACAAGGTATGGTGTATGAATGTGATGGAAAACTGTTGTGCTGTAAGAAACGGTGAAACCTAGGAAGACTTATGTGAAATGAGCAGAACCAGGAGAACAATTTAGACAATAACAGCATTGTAAAAATAAATAGCTTAGTAACTCTGGTTAACACAATGACCAACCACACATCCAAAGGACTCATAATGACATGTGTTATCAACCTCCAGAGAGAGAACTGATAGACTCAGAGTGCAAATTGAAGCATATTTTCTTCTATTTCTCTTTCTATTCCTTTCTTTCTTTTGATGTGGCTAATGAAGGAATTTGTTTTGCTTGAGTATACATATTTGTAATGAGTTTTGTTTTTCTTACCTTCTTAATGGGTAGGGCAAGGGGAGGGAGAGAATTCAGAACTGAAAATAAAATTGATTGGAAAAAAAAAAAGCAAAGGTCCTTTCCTTTGTATGTGATGGGGACACTTAGAAAATACTCATGAATATTCTTGTATTTCAGGCCCAGTCTTGCTATTGAACAGTGACAACATCAAACAGCGTCTTGGAGCTGCAGCTCTGGACAGGTATGCCAACCTTGAGTTTGACCTCTCTGCCAATTAGCCCCAAATTCATAAGATTATAGATATGCATCTGGAAATGATGCAGAGATCATCTAGTCTAGCTGCTTTATGTTACAGATGAGGAAACTGAGGCCCAGCAAGGTCCAAGGCTCATAGAGTTAGATCTGAAATGGACCTCAGAGGTCATCTAGGCCAAACTCTTTATTTTGTATATGAAGAAACTGAGGCCTAGAGAGGTTAAGTGACCTGTTTAAGTCACTCTATACAGGGTAACAGAGTAAGACTTTAAACCCAGGTCCTCTGACTCCAAATCCAGAATTCTTTTCACTTTATCATACAACATATCATTCCAGTTGTGATCAGGATTCTGACCCCTGAACTCTTAAATTTTTAAAAAAATTTTTAAAGAACACTTATCAACACACTTAAAATAGTGTAGTTTTTATATTGGGTCCACTCCGTGAATAATTTTTCTCTTTGTTGAACTTATTGAAGCTGGAAAATTGATCCAAGTCCCCAGATTCTTGGCTCTAGCATTTTTTTCAGTAGGGACGTCAGAGAGCACTTAATTTGAACCAGGCCAGCTCTTACATTTCTTCTTTGGTGTGTGGGTATTTGAAGAGAACAAATAGCAGCAGGAAAATAAAGGAATTGATGAGCATAAAAAGGTTAGCTGGGATGTGGGTGGCCCAGGGAGAGCAGAGCAACGTGGAAGAGCTCACAGGCTCCAAAGATTGCTGTGTTTCCTATTGGTTCACATAAGTATTTGAAGTCTCACTGTATTCAGGGTTCCAGAATTGCCCCACATTATAGTCAGTGTTCTGAATTGAAATTAAGCTGTTAGTATCTTCTAGGAGCAGACTTGTTTCCTGATGGTTTCTCTGAGAGAAAACTCTGTGTGTTATCTTGGTCTTAGGCGTTGACCTTCAAGCCCTTGGGGTTTGAACCAACTCTGTAGGTGACACCATTTGTTTCTGTACCTAGGCGAGTAACTTCCTGTTCTTGGCCTTGGTTTTGCATTTGCAAAATAGATCACTTAAATGCTCATTGTCTGAAGGTGGATACCTTATAAGTTTTGGGTTTATTTTTGTCCTTTCCAACCCTTTCACCCCAATAAATGCCTTTACAATGTATCCTGGGAGGCAGGTAGCCTTCTGTTGTAGGCCTAAGCAGGATTTATTCCTTTACCCTGTCATTTATTGCCACATTTTGTCATAAATGCAATAAGTCTCTTTTGATCCATTTCTTGGGTTGCTCTGACCAAAATAAACCCACAACCTCTTTGTTGTCATCCAGCCTTCTGGTGATGAGTCTCTATATATTTGGTCAGACTTGGCTTTGGACAACACACATTGTCTTTCTTGAGGTCCGTATTCAATTAGTGAACATCATTTTTAAGTTCTTGCTGTGTGCCAGGCACTATGTTAGGTGTTAAGAATGCAAAAACAAAAGTGAGAGTCCCTGCACTCAAGGACTTTACACATTTTACAGGGGAAGATGATATGTGTGTGCATGTGTGTATATGTATATGCAAAATAAATGTAGCATAATTTGGGGGGATAGGAGACAAAGGCATTGGCAGCTAGAGGGATCAGGAATGGTTTTATGTAGAAGATGGTTCTTAAGCTAAGCTTTGAAGGAAACTGGGTATTCAGAAAGATGGAGGTAAGGAAGAAGTATACTCTAGGCTTGGAGGATGGCCTTTACAAAAGCCAAGACAGACAGACAGACAGACAGGAGATAGACCAGTTTGTCTGGGCTCTAGAATTCAGTGAAATAATGTATAATAAGCCCATAATGATAGACTGAGGCCACATTGAGAAGAGTTTTAAGTGCCAAACCAAAGATCTTATATTTACTCTTATATCTAACAGGAGATCACTAGATTTTTTTTAAAGTAGGGGAGTGATGTGCTTTAGGAAAATTATTTTGTCAGCTCTGTGGAGGATAGAATGGAGAGGGGAGAGGCTGGGAGGCAGGGAGACCAGTCAGGAGGTTCTTGTGATCATCTAAGCCAGAAGTGATAATAGACTTAAATAAGGTGGTAGCTATGTGGGTAGAGAGAAGGGAATAAATGCAAGGGATATTGTGGAGGTAGATCAACAAGATTTAGCAACTGACTGACACTACTTAAACAATATTATTGAATATATGGTGTGGGAGAGAGTAAGGAGTTATGGATGAGTACTAGGTCTCAAACCTGGGTACCTAGACAGAAACAGGGAAATTGGTTGTGGGGGAGGAGGAGGATGGGGGGGTGGTAGAGGGAAAATAAAGAATTCTGTATGGGACACATTCAGTTTGAGATGACTCTAGGATACATCTACATGAAATGTCTAATAAGCTTTTGATTTATGGAACCTGGAATTCAGGAGAGAAACTAAGTCTGAATAGATTTGGGAGTCATCTGCATAGAAGTGATAATTAAGCCCATGGGATGTGATGAAGTCACCAAGAGGGAGAGTGAGAGAGAGGAGGGAATAAATCCAGAACAAAATCTTGGGTTGCCTTTGTAGTTATCAGGCATCATATAGATGAAATCCAGCAAAAGAGACTGTGAGGGTCATCAGATTGCCAGGAAGAGAGAAGTAAGAGAGAGCAGTGTCAACAAAACTCAGAGAGGAGAAAAAACATACAAGAGGAGAGGGTGGTCCACAGTGTAAATATTGCAGAGAGATCAAGAAGAATGAGGACTGAGAAAAGACCATCAGATTTGGTGACCATGTGATCACTGACAACATAGAGAGAGTAGTTTCAGTTGAATAATGAGGTTATAGGACAGAGTGCAAAGGTTTGAGAAGTAAGAGAAGAATGGAAGAAATGAATATAGTTTTTCTAGGAGTTTGACTCTGAGAGGAGAGATATAGGACAATAGGTTGAGGGGATGATGGGGTCATATGATAGAGCTTTGGCAGAGCCTGTCATAGATTGCACTACCCTGGTATAGCTTTCGAGAATCCAGGGTCTTCCACATACAACAATATGATATTGAAGGAAACCTTAAAACCTTACCCAAACTCCAAATCCTTAGGTGTATTCATATCATGCCACCTTACAAGGCAAGTAGGAGTGGACCTGTCTCTTCCCACCCCTTTCCCTTGCCATAACAAGAAAGCATTGCCTGCCCTGCATCTACAGCTGATACCTTCCTCTCTGGGTTTCAGTGTAAGATACCCTCTGTGGAGGTACATTATTGTATAAATTTGTGACAAAGAAGGAGAGGAAATCTAGACATAGTCTGCCATGTTCCCCAGATTTGGGAAAGCAGATTTCAAAAGGTTCACAGGAAAGAGGTAGGATCCCCTGACCTAAGTGTTACAAGAGAAGTCAGCCCCGGAGAAATGCCAGGTACTCAGTACTGAAATTCTGAAGATGTGAAGGGAAGCTGTTCCAATGAGGAGGAAAATGGAATTTGTCTGAAGAGACCAATATGGATACACAGGGAACACATCAACCAATTTAAATTTTAAAAAGAAACATACAGAAGGTAGTAGTAAATCCAGATAAAAGAGGATAGATGCAAAAGTGTGGCAGAATCCTGTAAAAATAATGCCAAGAGTGCTAAAGCTCAAAATGATCTGGCAAGGGAAGTTAAGGACAAAAAAGTGTTGTGGTTTTTTTTTTAAATTTAAATTTTTTATTCAATTCCAGATTTTCTCCCTCCCTCCACCCTTTGGGAAGGCAAGAAGTGCAAAGCCCATTGCAAATATGAAGCCAAGCAAAATAAATTTCTGAATTAGCCATATTTAAAAAAGAGAGAGAGAGAGAGAGAGAGAGAGAGAGAGAGAGAGAGAGAGAGAGAGAGAGAGAGAGAGACAGAAAAGATATTCTTCAGTATGCACTCTAAGTCCACTGAGTTTTTCAGGAGGTGGATATCATATTTCATCATGAGTCCTTTGGAATTGTGGTGGGCCATTGTGTTTGTTTGCTTTAACTTTATTGTAGAAAAGAGAGGCTCACAAAAGGGAAAAGGATCCATCTTGCTTAGGATAAATGGGACAATTGACAGCAAAAAGAAGGCAGAATTGATCAATTTTTATTTTGCATCTGTTTTCTGTACTAAGGAGAATATCCTTTGTACTCAGAATGATAGAACAGAAATAACAGGGAATTGATACCTAAGATACAGAAGAGAGCACATGTTTGCTCTTGATGAATTTAAGTTACCTGGCCTAAGTGAACTAAATCCTTTGTTACTGAAAGAACTGGCAGATGTGATTATTAAACACCTGTCAGTGATATTTATTTCAGTTAAGTAAGACTTTATTATTATTTTAGTACATAAGTCAAATTTTATGCAACTAAGGCAGAGGCTGGGGATGGTTTGGACTTCCAGTCAGGTGGGAACATTCTCTTGGTCTTGTAGTATTGAACCAGCTGGTGAATTTGTCTTTCATTCTGAATCAAACAGTATTTAACATCCTTTTCTTTTCTGTTCACTCAAGATGTTTTTGAACAGCAACAGCTTTCTTGGTCACATGATAAAAATCCTCAGGAAGATCAGAGGCAAGTCCCTTGAACTTCAGGATTCTCAGAATTTTGTGGCCAATTACATAGTATGCTTGTGCCATATTCGGGGGATCTCTCAGGATCACACTAAGCTGTAAGGGAGTCAGGCCTTTCTTAGTTAGCTTGTAGATCTGTTACTTTATATTGTCTGTCTGAAGACAGTTTCAGCCAAGTGGGGACACTGTAGTGATATATTGGAGGGACAGGTTCTTCCCTATGGCATGCATGTGACCTATAAGGACAATGGAAAGGCAGCAAAAGAGCTGTCACTGATATTTGAAAGATCATGGAAAATGGGATAGTTATGAAAAGATTGAAGAAAGGCGAGTGTCCTGATTTTTTTTAAACAAAAGAAAAGCAGAGTCTGCAAACTGTAGGTTAGAAGAACTTGATTTGAATTCCTAAAAAAAATTCTGGAAGCAATGATTATAATAGTCATCATGGCTTCATCAAGAATAGGTCATCCCAGTCTAACTTCATTTACTTTCTTTTATTTTTAATTTAAATTTAAAGTTATTTATTTTTAGTTTTCAACATTCACTTCCGCAAGATTTTGAGTTCCAGATTTTCACCCCATATTGCCCCTCCCCCCACCCCAAGATGGCATGCATTCTGAATACTCCTTCCCCTAGTCTGCCCTCCCTTCTGTCTCTCCGTGCCTTCTCTTATCCCCTTCCCCTTCTGTTTTCCTGTAGGTAGGGCAGGATAGATTTCTGTACCCCATTTCCTATATTTCTTATTTCCCAGTTGCATGTGAAAACATTTTTTTTTAAACATGTGTTTTTAAAACTTTGGGTTCCAAATTTTCTCCCTTCCTCCCTCCCCACCCACCCTCATTGAAAAGGCAAGCAACTCAATACAGGTTATACATGTGCAGTTATGCAAAACACTTCCATAGTAGTCATGTTGTGAAAAACTAACTCTATTTCCCTTCATCCTATCCTGCCCCCCATTTATTCTATTCTCTCTTTTGACCCTGTCCCCTCCTCAGAAGTGTTTGCTTTTGATTATCCCCTCCCCCAATCTGCCCTCCCCTCTATCAACCCCCTGCTCTCTTATCCCCTTCCCCCACTATTTTCCTGTAGGGTAAGATAGATTTCTGTACCCAACTGAGTGTGTATGTTATTCCCTTCTTAAGCCAAATCTGATGAGGATGAGATTCACTCATTTCCTCTCACCTTCTCTCATTTCCCCTCCATTGTAAGAGCCTTTTCTTTTCTATTTTTTTTGTGAGATAATTTACTCCATTCTACGTCTCCCTTTCTCCTTCTCCCAGTATAATCCTCTCTTACCACTTAATTTTATTCTCTGGATATCACCCCTTCATCTTCAACTCACCCTGTGCCCTCTGTCTATCTGTCTGTCTGTCTGTCTGTTTGTCTATCTATCTATCTATCTATCTATCTATCTATCTATCCATACATACATAAAATTTTTTCTCTCCAACTACCCTAATACTGACAAAGGTCTCATGAGTTACAAATATCATCTTTCCATTCAGGAATGTAAATAGTTCTACCTTAATAAGTCTCTTATGATTTCTCTTTCCTGTTTACCTCTTCATGTTCCACTTGAGTCTTGTATTTGAAAGTCAAATTTTCTATTCAGCTCTGGTCTTTTCATCAAGAATGCTTGAAAGTCCTCTGTTTCACTGAATGACCATTTTTTCCCCTGAAGGATTATACTCAGTTTTGCTGGGTAGGTGATTCTTGGTTGTAATCCTATCTCCTTTACCCTCTGGAACACCATATTCCATGCCCTCTGGACCCTTAATATAGAAGCTGCTAAACCTTTTATTACCCTGATTGTGTTTCCACAATACTTGAATTGTTTCTTTCTAGCTGCTTGCAATATTTTCTCCTTGACCTGGGAATTCTGGAATTTGGCTATGATATTCCTATGAGTTTTTCCTTTGGGGAGCTCTTTCAGGAGAAGATCAGTGGATTCTTTCAATTTCTGTTTTGCCCTCTTGTCCTAAAATATCAGGGCAGTTTTCCTTGATAATTTCTTGAAAGATGATGTCTAGGCTCTTTTTTTGATCATGGCTTTCAGATAGTCCAATAATTTTTAAATTCTCTCCCCTGGATCTATTTTCCAGGTCAGTTATTTTTCCAATGAGATATTTCACATTCTCTTCTATTTTTTTCATTCTCTTAGATTAGTGTTATAGTGCCTTGATTTCTCAAATTGTCACTAGCTTCCAATTTCTCCATTCTAATTTTTAAGGAAGTATTTTCTTCAGTAAGCTTTTGGACTTTCTTTTCCATTTGGCCAATTTTAATTTTCAGGGCATTCTTCTCCTCCTTGGCTTTTTGGACCTCTTTTGCCATTTGGGTTAGGCTATTTTTTGAGGTGTTATTTTCTTCAGGTTTTTTTGGGATCTCCTTTAGCATCACTCTCAGTTTTTCTTCTGCTTCTCTTACTTGCTTCTAAAAATCCTTTTTGAGCTCTTCCATGGCCTGAGACCAGTTCATATTTTTCTTGGAGGCTTTGGATTTAGGAGCTTTGGCTTTGTTGTCTTCTTCTGGTTATATGTTTTGATCTTCTTTGTCACCAAGTAAGAATATAGTCTGACTCTTTTTGCACTGCTTGCTCATGATCCCAGCCAATTACTTAAGTTATAAGCTCCTTGTTAAGGTAGGGGTCTGTTTCCAGTGTGGAGAATGTACTGTCCCAAGCTTCAGGGGTTTTGTGCAGCTGTTTTCAGAGATACTTCTAGGGACCTGTAAATTTTCAGTTCTTCCAAGGTGCTATGATCAAGGATGAGGTGTTTACTCCTTTCCTGGCTTGTGTTCTGGTCTGTGAGTGACCACAAGCACTCTTTTCTGTCTTGGAACTGTGAGGAGGATTTTGTCTTCACCACCACTACAAGCTCCACCATGCCAGCACTCCTCCTTACCCCAGGACTACCACCCAGAACTGTGACCCAGATTCAAGCACGGGCAAAGCAAGAGAATCCTGCACCAGCAGAGAGATCCCTGCAGTCCCTGTCTGATCAGCCACTCAGTTCCCCTTCAGTGTGTGGGCCAGAAGCTCAGGAAGCAGCCGCTGCCCAAGGCCAAGTTCTGGAACTGGGGTTGGGACCTAGCTTTTCTTTCATCATGGTCACAGACTTTTCCCACTGACCTGAGATGTCTTTGATGTTCGTGGGTTGAAAGGTCTGGAAACCACCACAGCTGCCCATGATTCAGTCCTCTGAGGCCTGTGTGCCCACGCCAAACTATGCTCCTCTCCCAGCCCATCGCAGTATACCTTTCTGATCAACAATCCAGGTTGTCTTGGGCTGAAAATTTGTTTCACTCTGTTTTTCGTGGGTTGTGCTGCTTTAGAATTTGTTTAAAGCCATTTTTTACAGGTATTTGGAGGGGTTTGAGGGAGAGCTTAAGCAAGTCGCTGCTTTTACTCTGCCATCTTGGCTCCACCCCCATTTACTTCCTTAATAGGATTACTAACCTAGTAGATTTGAAGAATGCTGTTGATATGATTTACCTAGATTTTTAGAAAAATTTTGATAAAATATCTAATTATATTGTTGTTGAGATGGTAGTAGGATCTGTTGGGGAACCTGCAGGCTTGAGGGCCACTTTAGGTCCTAGAGGGCCACGTGTGGTCTTGAGGCCACAGGTTCCCCACCCTTGTCCTAGACAATAGTACAGTTAGATGATTTCAGAATTGGTTGTGTGACTGGAATCAAAGGATTGTTTTTAATAGTTCACTAACAGCATAGTCAGAGGTATCCAGTAGACTGTCCCAGAGATCTGTGCTTAATCCTGTACTGTTTAACATTTTTATCAGTGATTTGGATAAAGGTATAAGTTGCAAGGCCATCAGATTGACAAATGTCAAAATGGGAAAGGTTAACCAATACATTGGACAACAGATTCGATCCAAAAAGATGTTAGCAGGCTAGACTATAATTCATGGCAGCTGGGTGGCACAGTGGATGGAGTGCCAGGCCTAGAGTCTGGAGGATCTAAGTTCAAATATGACCTCAGACACTTACTAACTATATGACCTTGAGTAAGTCTCTTAACCCTGTTTGCCTTAGTTTCCTTATGTGTAAAATGAGTTGGAGAAGGAATGGCAAACTACTCAAATATCTTTGCCAAGAAAATACCAGATGGGGTCACAAAGAGTCAGACATGACTGAAAACAACTAAACAACAACAGAGCATAATTCAGTAGGCATAATAAGTCTTACACTTTTATACAAAAAAAAAATTCATTTTCATAAGTACAGGGTAGGGGATATAGTTGTCGTTTGTTGTTGTTGAGTCATTTTCAGTCATATCCAACTCTTCGTAACCCCATTTGGGGTTTCTTTCTCCAGCTCATTTTACACATGAGGAATTGAGGCAAACAGGATTAAGTGACTTGCCCAGGATCACACAGCTGTTAAGTGTCCACTGCACCACCTGGCTGACTCAGGAAGATAGAGTTAGATGGAAATTTTTCTGAACAATATATGGGGTTTTTAATGGACTTCAAGTTCAACATGAGTTAGTAAGATAATGTGGTAGCCAAAGAAAAGTTAATACATTCTTGTGTGTCATTAGGAGAGACAAAGTTCCCAGAAATATGGAGGTGTAGTTCTACACTGTATTCTGTTCTCCTTAGATCTCATCTGGAGTACTATGTTCAGTTTTGGGTACCAGTTTGAAGAAACTAGGTATGTTTTGCCCAAAAAAGAAAAGACTTAGGGTATCTTCAATTTTTGAAGGGTTGTCATCATATAGAGAAGGGAATACATTTATCTTGTTTGGCTCCAGAGTGCAGAACCAGGAACAGTGGATAGAAGTTGAAAAGAAGCCAATATAGGCTTGATGTCAAGAACAACTTGCTAACAATGAAAGTGGTCCTAAAGTGGAGTGGATTTCTTGAGAAGTGGTAAGATCTCCCTCATTGGAAGTCTTCCATCAGTGGCTGGATGCCCTCTTGTTGGGTAGGTTGTACAGAGATTTCCATTAGTGTAGGGTTTGGATTAGATGGTCCCTAAGGCCCCTTCCAACTCTTAGTGGCTGTGATTCTGTGATATTTGCTTCACCTGGGGAAAATACTCTTAGCACTGAAGAGGTTCTCTTGAAGAAGATTATCCTTGGACATAGCCTCTCCCAGAGAAAACCACATATGCTGAACAGATGAGAAAGAATGCTGATTTAATCAGTTTTGCCATCTGGCTGCCAACTCAGGGAGGCTGTGGTTATTGAACACTTGTGGGCTGGGACATTTTTGGTCTTTATGTATAATGTTCTGTCTTGTTCAGGAAATGGCCTTTGAAGAGAAAACAGTGCAGTGGGCATTAATGAGGTCTTGCTTTGTGTGTCTTTCAGTATTCATGAATACAGATTGTCCAGTTGGCTGGCACAACAGGAAGACATCCACCGCATTGTTCTCTACCAGGCAGACAGCACCTTGACTCCATGGACCCAGCGCTGTATTCGGCAGGCAGACTCTATCCTGATTGTGGGGTTGGGGGAGCAAGAGCCCACTGTAGGCGAGGTGAGAAGACAGAGTTCTCCTAGTATGAGGACATTGCTTAGTTGGCTCTAAGTTACTGGGGTTTGATGTTGATTATGTGGCCAGAGTGTCAGGTGTTTTGGAGAGCAAGGGATACGAAGGATGAGGAAGAAACACTGGCTCTGGAGTCAGCTGACCTGGGTTCAAATTCTGCCTCTGATGCTTATACCTGTTTGACCTAGACAAATCACTGAACCTACCTGAGCCTCAGTTCTTCATCTGTGAAATGAAGGGGTTGGATAGCTTAAATTCTGAAGTCTCTTCCAGCTCTGGTCCTATGATCTTATGATCCTGTTTCGATAACAGCTTATTTCTAAACTGGAGTTGTGCTGAGGCCCTTTCTGTTAATTGGGAGCTAGAAAGCTGACACTTCCTGCCTTATAGCCTCATGGACCAGATGTGACTCACTTAAACTGGGTCTGCTGCTAATTCTTTCTATAAAGGAGATGTCTCTACACCAAGACCTTTTGGTCATTTGCCAAAGAAACCTGCCTCTCCTCCATCTCCCCACTTTATGCCTCATTATTTTGTCTGTGCCTGTAAGATGGCTTCTCATTCTACTCTTAGCTCTTGGCAGCATTCCTTTGTATGTATCCTTTTACCAAATGGCATACTGAGCTCCCTCATGAAGTAGTAAAGGTTTACAGAATTTTAAATAGTAGTTCCCAAGATAGATTTATTATCTACCCTTAGGCTATACAATAAGTTGATAAAAAATATATAGTAGATTGAGAAGATTTTTTGGGGGAAAGGGATCATTTTCCTCTCCTGCCCATCATTGCAATTTCCCTGTGAATCCCCAGGAAAGTTCCAAAAGTAAATTTCCTCCCTGTCTGATCCCTGTCATGTATCATCATATAGTGTCTTAGATTTTTTAAATAAGTTATTTCCTTGTTCTGTGTAACTCGGTTGTAAGCTGTTATAAGACAGCTCTTTCTCAGGGCTGAGCATATAGCAGATGCTCAGTAAAGATTAATTGTTTAATGGAACACATAATTAGGAAAGGCCAGACAGAGCTGGTGGTATGGTAAGGAGTTGACCAAGGTTTGCCTGGTCTATCCAGATCTCTTCAGCTATACCTTCATATCGACTGGTCTAGGAATTCTTAAGTAGTAAGCCCTGTAGTAGGATCAGGCCCTGGTAGAATATTCATTCTAACCATACTCACAAGTCATATTTACAAGTCAGTATTACAGTTCCTTAATTACAAACAAAACTAAACTTATCTTCCTTTGGTACAGCACAGCTACAAGACGTTGACTTCCAGGCAAAAGGGTTTGTAGAAGCTAGTCTGCTTAGAAATCATATGATTCAGAGACAAAGGAGATTAGATGATCTCAGGGGATATTTGTTTCTGGGATTGCAGGGAAAGCTGATGTTCATCTTTATAAAAAGGCTTGCTTTAGTCAGACAGGAAATACCAGTTAGACTCTCATTAGAAGGTATTTTAACATAAGGAGTAGTGTATTATCAGCTTGATATGAATTCAATGGCAGTGTTCTGTTTTGCAGAAAGTCTTTTTACACAGTATAAAAGTCTAAAACTGAGCAGAGGAAATATATTCAGGTCCATAAACTGAAAGTTGGCCATGGGTATGTGAGCATGTTCTGTATTTTCATCTTCATGTTGACCTGGGTCTATTAGACCTGAGCCTGGAGCAAAGGAGCTTCTGACTGTATCTTCTGTCCTATAGCTAGAAAAGATGTTGGAGAACACAGCTGTTCGTGCTCAGAAGCAATTGGTCCTACTTCACAAGGAAGATGGGCCAGAGCCTTCCCGCACAGTTGAGTGGCTTAACATGAGAAGCTGGTGTTCAGGCCACTTGCACCTTCGCTGCCCCCGCCGGGTCTTTTCTCGCAGGACCCGGACCAAACTGGTAAGAGTCAGAACAGTCAGAGTCTAGCTTCTTAGTCTGCTTCCCAAAATCTGCCACTTGAGACTCCTGAACCCTACTTCTGACTTCTCAAGTTGTTCTGGTTAAGTAGGCCTCTGGGCAACAGTTTCTCTAACCTATGTCATGGAAATGATGGCGCTTGGATTAGAAAACTGCATGTTCAGTGCCATGACAGTGAAGAGGTTATTTCCTTGGAATATCACACTTTTGGAGCTCCAGGTCACAGTACCATCTCACCAGCCCTGGTGGGTCCTCTAAGGCACAGACCAGCTATGTCTTACACTTACACTTCTGATACACTGAGGAGGCAAGAAGGGAGGCAAATTCATAAGGTATGGCTGAACTGATTAAGCACCTGGGCCAGGGGTAGGATTACTCTTGTCACTTGAGAAGCTGCCCCAAGTACTGAATAAAATTGTTTTCTCCCTCTTATAGGTCGAAATGTATGAACGTGTTTTCCAGAAGCCTCCGGACTTGCACTCTGACTTTTCCCGCCTGGCTCGAGTTTTGACTGGCAATGCTATTGCATTAGTGCTTGGAGGAGGAGGAGCAAGGTGAGTTCCTTTGATGTGCCCTCCAAAATTCTTAGCTGAACTTTGGAGGATTTTCTTTAGACCTGGTGAACTGTTTGCTTTTCACTATACAGCTCCACTCTCCCACCTTCTGGTGTCAAGATGAGGTTTCTCCTCTGCAGAAAAAGGGATGAAACTGCCGAGGAGCTATTCCTGTTCAGGAGTTGGCTGGGGTTAGTTTTTGAATCATGGTCAAAATCCCCTAGAGGGATTTGTGGGGCATCCTTCATAGTGTGCATGCCAGGGAACAGAGCAGGAATATCAATAACTAACCATTATAAGGAGCTCCACCAAGGGCCCCCACCACGTGAAGATTTATGGTTTTGTGGAAGGTGTCTGAGTCTAGACAATAGGAAAAATTTTGATTTGTAGTTCATTCTTCTGATTCATAATTTTGATCTTCAGTAGCTTCCTAAAATTTTCTACAAATGCCTCACAGGATTTTTCAAAATTAGGAATCTTTAAACTCTATGGATTGTCTTAAAAAGATGAAAAATTATCTCTTCATTCCAACACAGGTTAATTCCTTTAAGGATTTTTAAATTTAACATTTCCTGCTGTTGATATCTCTCTGGCTCTCACCTTTTCACTTAAATTGTATGTTTCCATGAAGATATTATTGTGTCCTGTTTTTATTTGTGTTCTATGGCATCATCCATCCCTCATTTTCAAAATATTGGTCATTTCCCCTAAGATTTTGACTTGTGTTGCTGCTAACTCATGTTTATTTAGAAAAAAGGTAGAGCCAGGGAGCCTTAGGTGGTAGAGGTGAGACAATGGAAGAGAATGTCTTTCTGTTTGGAAGAGATTCATTATAACTATATTTGTTGATGGAATATTTAAGAACATATTATGAATGTTCATTCTTGAATGATGATAATGCTGATCATAATATTTATATATGTTCAGCACTTTGCAATTTACAAATCTCTTTATATACATTGTCTGATTTGATCTTTGCAGTGATCCTATGAGGTAGTCAGGGCAGGGAATTAAAATTACACTTGAGGAAGCTAAGACCCAGAAAGATTAAATGATTCCTTGTGCAGGTCTCCTGACTCTTTACTCCAGTGTTTTTTCTCATTCAGCACACCGGGAACAAGCAGCTAGTAGTTATGTTATAACTTAATGTGTATCTTTTGCCAAGATGAAAGCTCCTGAGGCACTGACTAGAAGCCTAGAAAACATCATAGTTAATATCAGTAAATTTAATTTCAACAAGCATTTAATGTGTCTATATGTGCAAGAAACCGTTTGTCTTCAAGAAGTTTATAATCTAATGGGGGGATACAACATGAGCAAAAATAAGTATAACAAAATGAAAGGAACACATGGTATAATGTGAAAGTAACAAAAGAAATATTCAGCCAAAATGCTCTAATTTAAGGAGGAAGAGATTATTTTAAGCTGGGGTGTGGGGGTGGATGGGAGGAGGTGGGGATGATGAAAAAGGTACCACCTAAACTGGACTTTGAAGGAAGAGGATTTCAGTTAGTAGAAATGAGGAAGGAGTTGCATTCAAGGCATGGAAATATATAGAGGCAGATGTGTTCGGGGAATAGCTATTCAACTCATTTAGCTGAAACATGGAGAATGTGAAGGAGAATAATGTGGAATAAGACTACAAAGGTAGTTTGAAGTCAAATCATGGATGCTTTTTAAATATTTGGCCAACCTTAGAGTTTTCATTTTATCTTATAGTGAATAAAAAGGTATTGAAGGTATTTGGCAGACAGCTTTGATCAGTCTTATGCAAAGACCAGGTAAGAAGAACTGAAAGACAGTGTGTGGTATAGAAGAAATAATACAGGAGTTAGAAATAGATAATTTGATTTTACTCCCAGCTCTACTGTTCACTAGCTGTGTGACCTTGGACAAGTCACTTAACCTCTTAAAGTGTCAGTTTACTCATCTGTAAGATGGGGATGATAATGGTTGTCCTACCTACCTTGTATAGTTGTGATGAAAGTGCTTTGTAAACTAAAAGCATCATATAAATATGGGCTTCTATTACTTCATCTAAGTGACATGTGAGGAGTCCTGAACTAAATTGGTTAGCCATTTGTATGGAGAGGGCATGTATGCAAGAGGTATTAAAAAGATAGAATCAGGCAGAGCCAAGATGGCAGAGTAAAAGCAGTGACTTGCTTGAGCTCTCCCCCAAACCCCTCCAAATACCTGTAAAAAATGTCTCTAAACAAATTCTAAAGCAGCAGAACCCACAAAAGACAGAGTGAAACAAATTTCCAGCTCAAGATAACCTGGATGGTTGATCAGAAAAGTATATTGCGTTGGCCTGGAAGAGGAGCGCGGTTCAGCGTGGCCGCGCAGGCCACAGTAAAACCTGGAGCAGGCCTCAGAGGACTGAATCATGGTTTCCAGACTTCTCAACCCACAAATGCCAAAGACAGATTAGAAGGTCAGTGGGAAAAGTCTGTGTCTCCAGTGAGAGAGAGAAGCAAGGTGGTCTCAGCTCCAGTTCCCAAGCTTGGCCCCGGGTGGCAGCTGCCTCCTGAGCTTCCGGCCCACAAACTGAGTGAGAATTGAGTGGCTGATCAGAGGGGGATTGCAGGAATCACTCTGTTGGTGCAGGATTCTCTTCCTTTGCCTGTGCTTGGATCTGGGTTACAGTTCTGGGTGGTGGTCCTGGGGTGAGGAGGAGTGCTGGCGTGGTGGAGCTTGTAGTGGCTGTGCAGAGCTAACCCTCACAGTTCTAAGACAGAAAAGAGTGCTTGTAGTTCCTCATAGACCAGAGCACAGGACAGGAAAGCAGTAAACACCTCATCCTTGATCATAGCACCTTGGAAGAACTGAAAATTTACAGGTCCCTAGAAGTATCTCTGAAAACAGCTGCATCACACCAAGATGGCAGAGTAAAATGGTAGTTACTCTCACCCTCCCCTATCAACCTCTGAAAACCCAGAAAATATCACCCCAGAAAAAAAAAAACCCTGGAACAGCTGAGCCAGAAGAAAGACGGGAGCAGCAGTGCAGCAGCCCAGCAAATGGGTCTCCCAGTGCCTCAGCAAAAATAAGGGAGGCAGAACTACAAGGGCCCCAGGCAGATAAGTACCCTGCAGCATTCATCTGAAAGGAGGTGAAGAAAACAACCTAAAGGCTTCCTAAACCCGCCTTGCTGATTCCAACCCAACACCAGGTGAGCTGTCAAGCCCTAGCCTCACTCAATTGTGAAGAATCCTGAAGCCCAGGTGGTAGAGCAGGCAAACACCAACACCTGGACCTCCGAGTGCCTCAGTGAGGGCAGGGGGACCAGTGGAAATCAGCTCAGAAAACCACCAGGTGCCTCGGCACTCTACCGCAAAGGAATCTCCCAGTGCATTAGCAGAAACGAGGGAGATGGCACTGCAGGGGCCCCAGGCAGATAAACACCCTGCAGCACCCATCTAAAAGGAGCTGAAGAAAGCTGAAGGAAAGGAAAAGCAGGCAACCTAGAATTGCCTGAAAGTTCCAGCCTTGCTGATTCTAGCCCAACACTAGGTAAGCTGCCAGAAACCTACAACCTCCAATTGCCAATATAAGAGGCCCCAGCACACAAAGCCAGTGACCAAGACCTAGGCTCCCAACACAAGAAGCTTGGGTCAGCCCTCTGTTCCCCAGCAGGAGAGCTCAATCTCTTTAAAGGCCAGGGAATAAAGAAACCATGAGTAAAAAAAAAACATACTATAGATTCTTATTATGAGAAGAGTGAAGATCAAGACAGAAATTCTGAAGAGGACAACATTGTCAACAAACCCACATCTGCAACAACAAAAGGGAATATGAACTGGTCTGAAGCCCAAAAAGCCTTCTTAGAAGAGCTCAAGAAGGATTTTAATAGTCAAATGAGAGAGGTAGAAGAGTCCTTCAAAAATACAATTGGCCAATTGGAAAAAAAATACACTGAAGAAAACAAGTCCCTAAAAAACACAATTGGAAACAAACTAAAGAAGAGTACACTGAAAAACAAGTCCCTAAAAAACACAATTGGCCATTGAAGAAGGAAGTACAAAAACTAACAGAAGAAAACAATCTGTTAAAAACTAGAATTGGACAAATGGAAACTAATGTCTCTATGAGAGAGCAAGAATCAGTCAAACAGAAACAAAAAAATGAAAAAATAGATGAAAATGTAAAATACCTCATCAGTAAAACAACCGACCTGGAAAATCGACTCAGGAGAGACAATTTAAAAATTATTGGACTACCTGAAAATCATGATGAAAAAAGAGCCTGGACAGTATCTTTCAGGAAATCATAAAGGAAAACTGCCCAGAAGTCCTAGAACCAGAAGGGAAAATAACCATAGAAAGAATCCACGATCACCACCTGAAAGAGATCCCAAATTGACAACGCCAAGGAATATAATAGCAAAATTCCAAAATTACCAGATGAAAGAGAAGGTGCTGCAAGCAGCCAGAAAGAAACAATTTAAATATCATGGAACCACAGACAGGATTACACAGGAGCTTGCAGCTTCTACATTAAAAGACCACAGGGCATGGAACATGATATTCCTAAGGCAAAGGAGCTTGGAATGCAGCCAAGGATCAATTACCCAGCAAAAATGAGCATCATTTTTCAAGGGAGGAGGTGGATATTCAACAAAATAGGAGACTTCCAAACTTTCCTGATAAAAAGACCAGAGCTCAACAAAAAATTTGATCTTCAAGTACAGGGTTCAAGAAGGACATAAAAAGGTAAATGGGACAGAAAGATACAATATGTTGTTAATAAGGGGGCTGTTTACATCCCTACAAGGGAATATGACACTTGCAACTTGAGAACTGTATTGTTATTACACCATGTTAAAGGAGTATACATAAAGGGGTGGATATTAGTTGACTTTGATGTAATGATAAAAAAAAATCTATTCAAGTGGGTTAAATGGATCCAAATAAGTGGATCAATCTGATCTTAGAAAATGTACTGAGAAAGGAGGAGGCAGACAAGGGTAAATTACATTACAGGAAAAGACACAAAAT